CTACCTATCAGATAACGAGTACACTACGGGATTGAAGATGAAGATGTTTCACGTTCAGTGAGCGATTCAGAAATACCAACTTTCATATTAATATTATCTGTATTGTGAGTGGTGAATCTACAGAATACTATGGAAAGAAATAAAATCAAACAATGATTTAATTCAAGTTTTATCACCAAGTGATATCAGTTAGGGGACCACTGAAAACTGCAGAGTACAGGACAGGTGTTTCCTGCTAGTTTGAGACTATTCGTCAGTACGCCCCAATAACTTTAGCCAAAATCAGACTGAAAACCTTTCAGGTGACGATATATGAATAAAACTTGTGCACTGTGGTAGAGTATAATTCCATTATGGGTAAATTTTTGTTTTGATAAAGTCTCACAGTGTTATACAATAATGTTTACTGTATAACATTGTACTGTATAACATTTACTGTATAACACATTACTGTATAACACTGTGAGACGTTATCAAAACAAAAATTTACCCATAATGGAATTTCAGGTGACGAAGCGAGTTCGACTATCATTCACCTAGCGGACCAACATCTGATAGTCCTTGAATTCTAACTTCTATCAATTCGCAGCCGCGAGTCTTTGGTGTCTTTGATGAGTATGTGTCCTTAAACTCAACCTTGTGGACCCAATGAGCCACAGTTTTTCAGTAAAACTCTAGACAACTTCATCCTGTTGGTAGTCACTAGTTGAAGTGATTAGCGCTTCATAAAGCGTGAACAATAATCAGTCGAGATGAACTAGCGTATATATATATATATATAAATTTGCATTATTCCAAAAGAGTACTTGTGATACAGAATGGAATTCTCACCATTTCACTACAGGATTGCATCCAGTTAGTACATTAACAATAAATGAAATTCTACATAGATTATGGGTAGTCTCAGTTCATTATGGCAACCACATATTGACATGTCGGTAGCAAAGCCAAAATTGAACAGAGTGTTTGAAGGTGTTAACATATTTATTGGCGTAAGCGGAAACAGAAGGTTGAGATATACAGAGTGTGAAAGAACGAAGAAGAATGTTTTAATAGAGTTTGTAAGGAAGAGAAAAGGAAAAGAAAGAAAACGTTGTACCTATAAATGATATGAGTTGGAAAGACGAGATCCAGTTGTTCTACTGACTATTTAATAAGTTATAGGTATCACGCCTAATGCTTTCTTTATCGCACAGAACACAAGCTAAGTAGGGTATGGTTGAGTTTTTTACTTGCTAGCACGAGCATATAGTTTCCTATATAGGCTTCTGGTTTTGCCTGATGTGATAAAAGGGGGGGGGAGAGTTGTGAATGAAAAGGGTGGTGTGAGTCAGATAAAATGGATTTTGCCCATTTTTCACATAAGTTCAAGTGCCTCTCAACCAGAATATTAACAAGCTGATTAAGTGGCACGTAGCTTACCCTGCTGACAACCTTTGACATCCTACGTAGTAAGACATTGTCCTTCTTCTGTAGCCTTGGAAAAACTAAGGGGGAACAATAGAGAATAATAGGCAGAATGCGAGAGTCAACGAATTGTAGGATTAAGGGTTGGATTATTCCAGAATGTCTTAACTTCTTGATGTAGAAGGTGAGACGGAATATTTCCTTAGAAATCATCAAGATATGAGACAACCAGGAGAGATCAGCAGATAGAATGACGCCGAGATATTTAATTTCCAGCTGGGTTTCTACTTCAATGCCATCTATGTTGTATACCTCGTGAGTGCTAACTAGTTCGTTTAGGTCAGATTTATACCTTAAGGTGAAATTGACTGTTTGGCATTTGTATCGTACACGAGAAAATTTCATTTCTCAAGTTATATAGGTGGAACTGCCATTGACATTCAAACGTGTTGACTCAACAGATCGATTATGAGAAGATTCACTGCGACTGATTTGGTACTCACTTTCCTACCTAGAATGGTACTAACAACACATCGAATCATGGAAAAATGACCAGTGATGGCCTAATCTACATGTAACAATGAGTTGAACTGCTCCTATAGAGCTAGCTGCATAAGTCATACTTACAGGCCTTTATCTATGCGTGCAAGATAACCTGTACTTGTATGGTCGAGTAAAGAGACAAGCAAATGTGTGACTGGTACTGTTATTTGGTATACACTGGACAGTGGATAAAATCACAGCTGGCGTTCTTCGTAATCTACAATAACCTTAATAATCTATCTAGAGGTGGCTGGCCACAGCTTCTATCAGCTCGATGGCTTTTAGCCACTTAGTGACTAATATTTTCTAACTTAGTCATCAATTCGTGATATAGAGCTATCAATAATCAGTGTCATGACCAGTCTACAATGAAAACAAAAATCCAAATCTGCATACGCGAACCACATAATTCAGACAATTTTAATTCCTCATTGCTCTCAGAAACGCTTAAAACTACGCTTCACTTGGATAATGTGTTACAAAAGGAAGTTTTATCTGAAGAAACAAATACTGCGATAGCAAGAATTGGTACTTAAAAATAATTATCCACAAGCAGTCATAGGTCGTCGGTGGCATAGTGGTTAAGACGCTTGCCGACCATGCACATGGTCCGCGGTTCGATCATCGGCCGACGAACTCCTTTACCTCGCTAAACCAGAGATAAAGCTGGTAAATAGGAAAGGTTAAGCGTGAGGCTAGCGACCTCATCCTGTAATCGCTTAATACTATTATTACTACAATTCTATACTTTATGCATATTTTTCTCCTAATCTCATTCTGCATTTGCACCATAGCTGCCATAACAACGTTTTGTTATTATTGTTGTTATTATGCAATGTTTATTTTTTATCGTTTTGAGTAAATTAGATGCAATATTGTAGTGAATGCTGAAAATTCCTGGCTGTATCTTCAGTACTGTTTTTGGAATAAAGCAAAGATTAATATTACTAAGTGGTAATAAAAAGATAACTGATTATTATTCCACTAAGTATGCGCTCAACAGTACACTTTGTGATTTGATTCTAATTTACATGTTTTACTGGAGATTGTATAACCAGGATGAATGGATTTACAATGATAGAAACACAGTTTCGTTCAGCGAAGTAATATTTCTTTTCATTGAATTCAAATTTCAAGCTGTAGAGTCGTGTTTATATTTATGGGAAAAGGCATTAAGTGGTAGTAGAAAGTGCTCATTAAATTTGGCATAAGCCAACCAGAATTTGAAAGACAATCTAGGTGAAAAGAACAAGATTCATACTGTCAACACAAATGTGAAATCAGTCGGTTCTCCCATATAAAGCGGTCAGAAACTCGTCTAGGGCATCACGAGATGGTTTTCGAACAATTTACAGACCTTTACCAACACAGTCGCCCTCTTCGCCGCCTCAATACTGAAGATCGAATTGCTGAGAGGTCAGAAAGAGTTAGGAACAATAAACAATGGCAGCAAACCAAACAATAGCCAATTGCCTGGGAAATGTGTAGGAGAAAATGGAGATGGATCAAACATGCGTTGAAGAGGATATCAAATGGGATCCCAAACGCAATTCAGGCCATCAGCCGAGTGGAATCACAATGATATGCGATGAATGGGTCATCGGTGTGGGGGTGACATGGAGGAGCTCGTACGCGGAGGAAATGCGAGATGGTGGGCAATCGTGGAGCCAGATGAAGAGGGAAGCAGAAAATTGAAGAAAGTGGAGATGTGTCGTCAAAACCCTATCTTCAACCCGCAACTCAAAAGAATATTAATAATGAATAACTAGAATTGAAGCAAATGAATCACAAAACATTCAAACCTTGTTAAATAAGTGAATAAGTGTTACGATTTTAAAAAATATAGTGCGTCAAGTGCTGTCTAAAATTCTAAGAGTACTAATGAAGATAACAATGAAGACGGCGAAGATAAAATGAAGTTCAGTGAATACAAGTGGTGAAATAGGATAGAATATGAGGACACCACAATAACCAAGGTAAAGTGAGATGTTTGAGAAAATGTTTTGAACTTATAATTTAGGTTTCTATTCACGCATAGCTGGAGCTTCGGCTATGCACTCATGGTGAAGAAGTAGGTTTGTAGAGTGATTGAATCTGGTGTTGTCGACAACTTCGAAGAATGAATCACGTGCGACTGAACTACCTGAATACAGAAGGTGTCTACAGATTGAAGACTTCTTATTCCTATGCTCGCCTTTCATTTGCCGAAATGGGGTAGTGTTCAGCTATGCGTTTCCGGAGAACAGACTTACAACGTGCAACGTAATCAGCTCCACACGAGTGTGTGAATGAGAATATGCAATAATAAGGGGTCATAAGCATTAGTTTTTCCTCAACACAATGTGGAATCATATTTCGCCTGGTGAGCAGTGAATACAAGTCAGCTGCATAAAATGAGCATTAGATACATTTAGATAGAAGACTTTTAATCACTTCAGCACTGATGTTACTAGTGAACGCCAAACTGATGAACAGTGTATTCTTTGGGACTATGATTTTCTAAGACGGTTGCATTCTTGATTTTTCTTTTACACAGACCATTACTTAAGAGAGTTGTGTGAGAATTTCCTAGTTCTATGTCAATGGTATCTGTATGGCACATTTTCAGGATTCTGTAGCCTAGAGAACGGTTAAGATTTCTGTTCCTGCGTGGAGGTGCCCAACTGTTGAAATACCATCCTTTTGCTTATCTGACGTCATGTCTAAGAAGTGAAATGCGGAATCAGACTCCTCTCTGATAGTGAAAAGAATCGTAGAGTGAGAACTATTAAATTACCCGAGTTCAATAGTTGAGGAGTTATCACTATAAATAATTTATAGTTTATGTTATTTTTATTCTTATCATGTGTCTAGCTCTACTTAATGCCTTTTTCCACAAATATCAACACGACCGTACAGCTTGAAAATCAATATATCGTGAACAGATATTTCTTCGCTGAAAAAAACGCTGGTTTTCCTCATAAATCCAGAGGTTGAAAATGAATTTTGTGAAAATTACTGTTCTTTTTAACTATTATTTTCCTATACTACATATATATATATATACTAACCTGGAATGGATATCAATCCTTGACCTTTAACTGGTACTCGTCTTAGGTATTTATTTGAAATTTCCGGTGATTCCAAGCATATCAGAGAAACATATGAAATAACACGTCCGATTGTCTGTCCAACATTATTACACGTAGATGCCCAACCTAAATTTTCTCTTATTTTTTTTAAAAAGCAAAAAAAAGAAAGAAAAACAGAATAATTTTGCGATAAAATATGAATACCATCTCGTTATCCGTAAAAGATAATTATGACTGAACACTTTATACAGGTGAACTTTACTCTTTTCTTGAAAATAATTAGTATACTGAAAAAATTACAGAATTTTATTGCACATCCCTCTAGCGCTGAAGTAACTTATTGCTGCAAGCCATAGATCAGAAGTTTTGGGTTACACTGGTATTGATTCTATGGATGACTGTGGGGTGAGTGGGATTTCTAGCCTGAAACCCGACCCACCCTCTTCGTCATCCCTCTGAACTGGCTAATATGGAGGTAAAGATTTGCACTGGCCATGAATCGAACCACAAAACATATGCAAGCGTCGGTGAGAGTTTTACTGCTGAACCACCGATGGACTAGCGTCATGTCAGTGGAAAAACAGTGTCGTTTTGTTTTTTATTCATTAAGAAATACTAAGATTTTTGAAATAATAATGCCTATGAAATGTCGAATTCCAAAATTTTTTCAAACTATTTTTAGTACTATTTAATTAAAAAGTAACCTAATTTTTGATTTTCTAGATTAACAGATATAAAGCATATCTGATTTTTTAAACTATGTGATAAGTAAACCGTTTACGAATGTCTAGGATTTGCGTTTGTAGAAATTTGATCGATGTTGAGAGGGAACTTTATCACAAAACAACATTGCCTTAAAATAAATGAAAATAAGAAGGGATTAGATGTCTCTTAAGCACTGCTCTTGTATCACCCTACTGAGTATGATTATTATTATTATTATTATTGATTACAGCTTGATTCCACACCATACTTTTGGTACAAGTGTGAAATTTTCAGCGTGGATATCGGTAGCCCAAATTTCGCAGGCCGACCATAGATATCAGGTGTGCGTCGGCGTGGGCACGAACCCCGGACGATGTGGATGGTCGGCGAGAGTCCTAACCACTGTGCCACCGACGCACATATTGTTAGGGGAGGAGGTTAGCATGTCACCTTTGAGTAAATTAGTCATTTAATTTCTTTAAAATTTAAAATATACTGAGAGGGCATTTTTAATTTAATTCTTATTTTCCAGTTGATTGATTCCACCAAAATGTCACGCTTTTATTTACATGTAAACCCTTTGTGAGAATGCTTCCATGATGTCACAGGAATAAATTGAAGTAATTTAACAAATGGTGACTAGTACTGGAATCCCGTGTAAATGAATGTGAACACTGAACTTTGGTTTATTGGCCTTGGTCACCATCGGCGAGCAACTCGAACGCACGATTGATTCAATCTTGTACAAGTTGGAAGAAGACGAAGAAACAGGAATAAGGGTAGAGTACACTCCTTGTAAAACATTTGTTTATAGACTTTGTACCGATATTGAATTTAAATGCCGAAGAATACAATTTCTTACTGGTCCTTGTGTTTTGAAGTTAAAGTCGATAATCGTTCATAGTTATTGTCGATTAGGAGCGTCTTTGTAAATAATAGGAACTTTAGGTTAAGTTCCTTGACATCCTGGATGCAAATAACGTCATCCAGAAGTGCCTGCATTACCAAATGAGTTAAGGTATTCTGACTACGACTCGAACCCAGGACCCATTTTCACTCAGGTGGTTTAGCAGATAGTGCATTAGCATTTGGAATTATATGTACCGGCTTTGAGTGTCAATGTAGACATTATCATTCCCACTGGGGAATGCAGGTGCATTCTAGTGACGAGTCCAAAATAGCACAAAGTGAGACACCTGGGTTATTGCGCTAATCATGATCTTCCACATATAAGATATCTGACTGTAAAGTAACCAACATATGAAGACAATGGTTACTGATAACACCTTGAAAATCTAATGAACAAATCAATTGGGAAATAGCTAACTCATTCACATTCACACTTCTCCAGTCCTTTAACCGTAAAAGAGTGTATACCAAGAATATATGTGTATGCATTCATGTTAACAAAATGGTTTCACGAACAGTTTTGACCGTTTTGTCACACTCAACGACAGTGATGATGATGATAATAATAGTAATAACAGTATGCGTTACTAAGAATACCTGACACTAAATACAATAGAATAAATGGTGACAAATAACCGATGAATATGTATGCGTGTGTGTAATAATAGCAGTAATAATAATAATTTGTTTTATTCCAGAAAGAGTACTGGTGGTACAGTGTGGAATTTTCACCACATATCTACAATATTACATCTAATTTCATCGCACATTTAAAAAGAGTAGTTCAAAAAATACATATTAAAAAAAACAAAAAGAAACACAAAAAATAACAAAAAAAATGCAGAAAAAAAATACCAAGTAGAAAGGAAAATAAACAACAATAATAAATAATATTTCAATATTGAATAATAGAAGCTATGATATGCGTATGCGTGGTGAACAGTAACAGCTATAATCATACAAGAAGTTATGAAATGTTCTTATGAATGTTTATAGCCAAGATGATCAGTTAATTTGATTGAACAACACTAAACAATCATAAAATAAACATTTCAGGGTTTTTATTGTCAGGTCTAATGCGGTGTGTGAGTAATCCTGCGTAATACAAAATTTTAAGATGGTGATAACGGCGTTCACAACGAAGATTATCAGTTAATATTACCGAACAAAAGCAACCACAAAACAATATTACATAAAGGTTAATGACAGGACAATTTTGTAATACTCATAGTGATAATATAGTCAGGATCAGTAGGTACACAAAAGAAGGAGTAGAATAAAGAATAAAAAAGTAAGCCAATAATAATGATTTAAGGTAGCTAAGTATGTTTAAGAAGGTTGTTCACTATGGAATACAAATAAGAGAGAATAAGGGAGAAATAAAAGGGCCAAAATTATATTATATATATATATTATATTATTAACAACAAACCAAGTCATAGGTTTCCCGCATAACACTGTCTCTGTCACTTAGAACACGGGCCAGATATGGTATCGTTGAGCTCCTACACTTTGTTGTACGAACATATATTATTTTGTACTGATTTCTGGTTCAACCTGATGAGCTGCAAGGAGAGAGTTGGGAATAGAGGGGGTGTTGGGGGTCGAGGCGTTTGGTTCCAGAACATTTTTCGCATGTATTCAGATGCTTATCTACTAATGTAGTGACGAGTTGACTGAGTTTTACACCAGTAGTCCTACTAACTACCTTCAACATCCTTCTCAGGATGGTATGGTCCTTTTTCAGTAACCCAGGAAAGACTAACGGGGAGCAGTAAAGTAGAATAGGTAGGATACGAGAATTGACAAATTGTGAAAGCAGAGGTTGAGTGACTCCAGTTAGTCTGAGTTTCTTAATGTAGTAGGTTAGACGGAACTTTTTCTTAGAAATCTTTTGGATATGAGATGACCAAGTAAGGTTGGAAGATAGGACTAGTCCGAGGTATTTTGCATTAGACCTAGTTTCAATTTTAGTCCCCTCAATGCTACAGGCTTCATGAGTACCTACTAGTGTTTGTAGATCTCGTTTATGACTAAAGGAGAAGTCGATAGTCTGGCATTTTGGGGGATTCAGCATGAGGCCATTTTGTTTAGACTACTGACTGATGTCCTACAGGAAGCTATTTAATTTAAAACAGTCTGACTGAGACTTAACGGGAAGCGAAACATTCAGGTCATCTGCATATTTCACGAAGTTGATTTCGTCACAAAGAGGTAAGTCATGTAAGAGGAAGGAAAAGAGAAACGGAGAGAGAACAGCACCCTGAGGAACACCAGCTTCAGTAAGCAAAGGAGAGGAAGATAGACCACTATATACCGTACACTGGATCCTATTAGAGAAGTAAGAGTGCAGCCAGTTGATAGCCCAGGACTCAGTTTGTTTAAGGCTTAGGTTGTTTAACAAAACGCCTCTAGGTAAAGAGTCGAAAGCAGATGTGTTATCAAAGAACGTACAACGGACATACTTAGCCCCTTTGTCTAAATAGGACACAATGTTGTGATAAAACACAGCAGCAGCGTCCAAATTACTTCTACCCTGTTTGTAAGCAAACTGCTTTGGATCATTTGAGAAGCTTACGGAGGGAACAAGTTCGTGTAACAATAATTTCTCCATAAGTTTCAAAAAAGGAGAGGTGATAGCAATAGGTCTAAACTTTACATCATTTTCAGAACCAGACTTGGGTACAGGGATGATTTTAATATCTTTGCACAGAGAAGGTACAACATTATTAAAAAAAGAAGTATTGAAGATGTTTGTAAGTGGGTTTCTTAAAATATATTTTTTTATATGTAATATATTTAATCACTGATATCCGTTTAAGCTAATTAGTACCAAGGAATCAGTTGCACTTAATCTAAGTATGATCAATGAAATGCACAGAATCACGTCAGCATCAAAATCAAAAACCGGATGGATATGTAGAGCCAAAGGAATGTGTAGGTGTGTTAATTACCAAAAGAATGCTTTCTTTTCATTCACTGTAGTCGTGGAAGAAGTTCATCACAGTATACTACATGCATAAATACAATAATGCAAAAGGAATTCATCTACAACTTGTACAACGTTTATTCAGTTGAATAAATGTAAAGCTAACAGGAATTACGTCTACAAACTTTATGTATTCTTTCTTCACACGCACGCACATATTACTTGAAGTGTGGAATGAAATGCTGGGCTGGTGCTCAACCTTAATCCCTTACCGACTGTATGCCCTGTTAAGGGAGATTTAGGTATGCTTTGGCAATGCTACCGTTTTCCAGTTTCTCCACTGCATACGACCTCGATGGTGTCTGCTGTTTCTATACCTGTTCTGTTGTGTTTTTTCTGAGGAGAACTGGAGTCAAGCCAAAGTTTGGTTGAGATCCATTGATGAAAAAGAAAGATGATTCGCTGAACCACCATTTTGCACTTAGCTGGATAGGACATTTTGTTTCACGTTAATGGAAAACTCGCTGTTAGCTAGTAGCGTTTCAGATAAGCCAACCTTCAAAGGAAGTGTGAATGTGAGTGAATTTTAATAAT